TCACTACCATGCGGTCCGTGACAATACACACTGGACATTGTTCTGAGTAAAATGTCAACTATGATTACATCATCTTTGTTTTGTTAAACTAATATATGCTTCAACTTATGCTTTACAAATTTTTTGATATAAGCATATTTGTTATTGTTTAGTAGTGTTTTTAAGCTATGGGTCATACATAATGTGTAGATTCAACTTGCCGGATCCTCCCTTGCAAGCACACCCTCCAATTTAAAGATAAAATAACAAATTAAGATTTGGGAATTATTAAGCAGATTTTTCTACTGAATTGAAAATATATTTTTGATTGATTAATTTTTTTCTGACTTTGGCATGCATAGCTAGTCCTTTTGGAGATGTTAAATGTAGTCATTTCCTGCCCCCTGGACACCCCTTTCATATACCTTTCCTAGCAAAATGGGGGATTGAAGATCTGGAATTTATCCAGGTGATTACTTGCTGCGAGATCTAACATGTTGAAATGGTCTTTTAGTGTCTCTTAATGCAGCAAGATGCTTGATTTAATTTCATTTGGTCGTCTCAAATTGTTTTTGCTAATGATAGAGCATTATTTATTGATATAGTAGAATATCTTGTTGGGAAAAGTAACTTTTCTATATAAAATTGTCCCTACCTGAAAAGAAGAAAATTTTAATCTCTCAATTTCCTCGGCACATATAAATGGTATTCCCTTTTTTATTGTGACTTTTTGTCCGGGATATGGGGTGCCTATTTTCTAACTTAAGATTCCAAAAATATCAAGTTGGGTATCAACTATTAGGGGAATTACAGCCCCGAATTCCGTTAAAGTAAATTCCTTTGAAGGAATGCCTTTTCCATTTTGAAGTTTTATTAGTTATTTATCTTACCTCAATGTTCTTTTTGACGAATAAATTTATTTCTCGTGTGTAATATGGGGTGCAACCTAATTTTAGGTGACATTGAATCTACCTAATATTAAAGAAGTATAAATTCAACAGCATACTAGCAAAGTTACCCTAAAAGAACATATTTGAAACAACACATAATGTTCACTTATGACAAGCCACTTCCTTTCCTTCTGTCTTCTTTCATTGTACCTTTCAAATTTACATGAACTTGCTTCAATGTTAAGAAGAGCTTCTTATCCCCCATGTTTCCCTTCGGAGTTTGGTTCAGGATATATGGTGGAGATGCATAATGATATATTATTAAAGATTACCAAGTTTATATACCTATTTTAAGAAAAAACAACTGAGTTTATTTTTAAAGAATTTTTAGTATTTATGTTATTTCTTTAGTTGTTTGTTACTTAAATTGAACTACTTAAACCTAGTATAAAAGGGTTTATGGATTGAAATATACTTTTTGTCATTGAATACAATTACAAACTTTTCCTGATCTCAATTTTCCCCGATTCTCATCTCGTCTCTCACTCCTCTCTTCCTTTCTCCCTTCTCTTCTCTCTTTCTATAATTGTGGTTGTTAATTTAATTGTCTCCGTCATCACTATATACATTTAATTATTAAGTAAAGGGGTAAATTAGTTAATATTTTCTCTTGGCTTTGCACACGGGAGGGAGAGAGAGATGGATAAGAAAAATTCAAGGAAGAAAGGGAGAGTAATCCATAAGTCTCAATCTTTCAAAATGTCACATCGAAGTCAGATCTGTCATCAAAAGGCTCGTTCAATTTCTATTTTGATGTTCATCATTGATAATTTTTATACTCATTCGTACACCTATTCGATGCACCCTAATTATGCGATTATGGATCATTTTGGTAGTTTTATGATTTTAGTATTTTATTGTAATTTTAGATTTTTCCCTTTGATTAAGGTTTTGCTTATCTTAGTTTTCCCATTTGAATAAGGTTTTGTTTATAGTATTTTTCTCTTTGATTAAGGTTTTGCATATCATAGTTTTTCAATTAATATCATTGATTACAATTTTTACTATAGTATTTTGAGACTTCCTTGTATTATAGGATTATATTGCATTGTATAAATAAGACCGCTCACGACTTCTGAAATGAGCGTGCTACTGCAGCATTAAAAGTCTATTCCCGACGTAAAGAAAATGAAGTGAAGCCTAATTCTTTTGATTCCTTTTATGCCTAGAATAGACTTTTAATGCTACATCAAAGAGACTTATGAAGCGAATGTTCCAATTCTCGATATTCTATATGAATTAACGAGTCCAAATTCTTAGTATTCGAATTGAATAAACTAGCATTCAAAACCTAGCTTTCTAGTATTCATGAGTAAGAGTAACTAGAAGGTTGTTTTAACGCTTCCTTACGTGCGGTATCTTGCATCACTATCTCATCAAGGAGTTGTGAAATTTTGTGTTTTCGAGATTTCTTGTTGTATTGTGTGGGTTTTGATTGTCAATCGGCGAGTCTATGATTTTAGGTAGTCCAGTATGTTTGGAATTAGCTATAATTCTAGGAGCTTTACGTATTGCCTCTGCTCACTAACTTGGCAGTCACGGTTTGCAGGATGAATGTTTTATCTAATTATTTCATAGCTTGTGGAGAGTATGTTTTATTTATGCTTCTGCTATTCTTATCACTCCTTGTAAGTTTATACTTCTCAAGTGACATTATGTTTATTGTTTTGAAGGTTCAACTACCAGAAGGAATAGCACCATTTATACAAATTTCTGAAAATGATTTTTTAGGCCTAAAGTAAGCAATCATCCTTTATTTTTCCTTATTGAGGATCTCTTGTTGGTGATAGGTTTTCATGATTAATTGGTATGGAATGTTGTATAGGTTTTCATGTGGAAAAAGAAGGTTGATATGGATATAATGTTGAATGGCATGTGATTTTTTTTTTTTTTTTCAAAGGAGTAAAGTCCATTTTTAGGATATATCATTTGGACCCCGAGAACTTTGAGAGTGATCACAATGGCAAGGGAAAATATGCAAATGTAATTACACTTCAGAGGAAAAGGACTGTGAAGAACATTTTAGATTTCATATTTTTATGATTTTATTCTACAAAACCACAGTTTGTAAACTAATGGGCCATATATTTCTTATAAGATGCAATCCTTTTTAGGTTTATACCTATCATATTTTTGGAACTTGTGCTTATTGAATACCTAATTTGTAAAAAGGCCTCAGGTGGACAAAATATTGTAGGACAAGAAGTAGAGAAGTTTTATTAGTCGGTACATGCAGGATAGAATCATTATAGTTATTTTTTATTTGTGTAAAAGTGATGTGCAAACATGCACCATTTCGTCTGTTTTTTATGCTCACCTTGCTGGAAGTTCCATATTCCAATGGTGAAAAGTCAGATAGCCATTTTGGTCTGCATTTGTATATTTAGTTCTTTACATGAATTAATCTGCCAATATTCTCGTGCTGTGCGTCCTGCCACTGTTGATTTCTTTTCAGATAATTATATATTGGAAACCACTCTTACTCTTCTTTATTCAATACCCATTTCCTTCTTTGTGAACAACTGGTTTTGGTCTATTCAAAAATTAACATCTTGGGTTAGTAAAAGACTCTCGTTTGCTTGCTTTTTCCCCTTGTTACTTCTCTAATTTTGCTCCTCTGTCATCACAAAATGAATTTATCCCTACTATATCTCATTACTTGGGTATATTTTTCATCTTTTCCTGAAATGAAGCAGAAATTAATAATTTTCTGTGTTAAATTACTTGAACAAATTCAAGAAATGTGCTTTTCAACAAAAGAATGAGATCGTTGTTCATTTACTCAATTATAGGGACGTGTGCAGTTAGTTATTATTGTAATTATGAGAACAGGATTCCATTCAAAGTCATAGCTAAAAACTTCTCTTGAGTTCTATTATTGTAAGTATAGTTTTGGATAAATAAATTCGATATCATTTTGAAGAAAAACTTATGGAATGAACACATCATTCTTTTACTCATATTTTTTGCTAGTAATATGATGTTGAGGTGTATAGAAAATTCTCAAAAGAACGATGTGAGTGATCTGATTTTTCCTCTCGAATTGATTTTTTAAACAATACCCTCTTAGATGTTTGCTCCTATTCTTTAAAGCCATTGCTGGAAAGTTGTGTTGCTGAATAAATTTCTATAGCTGTAATGATTATTCATGGACAATCTTTTGTATATAATGGATGATTTTTTCATCGTATTCTAGACGCCGAAAACTGAAGGAAGATGATATTGCCATTTGCGAGTGCATGTATGATGGAACTAATCCTGAAAATGCATGTGGAGAAACTTGTTTAAATGTCCTAACCAGCATAGAGTGCACGGCTGGGTACTGCCCTTGCGGTGAACATTGCAGGAATCAGGTGAACTTAAACTATACAGATATTGGTCCGGAATATTGTTTGAGACTTTTGAGCTAAACTTAACACCACAAGGATTACAGAGTATCTTAAGTGGACCACAATGGAAATTTTGGTTGTACTGCCTAAGCCCTGTTTGATGCCCGTTAAAAAGAGTTTTTTTTTTTTTTTTTGTGAATATGAGTTTTGGAATAGTGATTTTTTTTTTTTAAAGAATATGTGGTTAAAAAGTATGGAAATGTTTTGGATTTTAAGTGCAAAATATTTTATCGTGAGAATGTACGGTTGAAAATGAGTTTTAGAAAAAAAGAGTTTTAGGAGAATGAATGCCAAACAAGGGCTAAGTTTTAAACTAAGTTACAGATTCCACATCTTAGAATTCTGCTTCTTATTGATGAGGATGATACTCTACAATTTGGTATGTCAGAGCAGGCATAATGTTTGGCTGAAGTAATTAGTTCTACTTTATAAGAAGTATTTATTCATTATCTTATATATATCTTGAAAAAGTTGAGATGGGTAGAAGATTAGGAGACAAAGGAGAGTAGCAGCAGTTGTAATTTTGTCATGTTTTGTGATTGTAGGCTCTTAGGGCGAGGTATTCAAAATGAGCTATTATCTTTTTAAAGCATGTGATCACTTGACGAAGTCACATGTAACATAGGCAATTTAAGCCATGTGATCATTAGTCCATATAACATTGATCTTTTATGTCATTTGGTCATTTAACCTGGATCTGAAACCTCAAGCACACACCAACACACGCCCAGGGTGAATTAACATAGATATCTATGCTATCCAGTCATTTTGCATTACTGAAGTTTCCATGGACTCTTCATCTACAGTAGTTATTATGGTGTATCTCTCTCTAATTTTCATGTTTTCCATCTGTACTCGAGTACGTTTGACATTTTCAATTTTCATTATCATGTGGATAGTTTGCAGATATTTTGATCTTTTTAAATATTTCTTTTTTCATTGTCCCATCTACTTTCCGTTCACCGATGCCTCGCTGTTTGTCTCTTCTTTCCTCTCATCATCATTGATAGAGCTCTTCCATTGCTTCAGTATCTTTTGCAGCTTACTCTGGCATATGTTTTTCCACCTTTCTGTCTATACTCCTTCCTCTCCCTTTTGTGCGCTAGAGAAGGCTCTGTCACAGCATGTACATTGTAAAAAAGAACCTGGGATTTGATTATATTCTTCTATCGTCCTCCTCTACTTGGTAATTTTCACGCACAATCATTTATTTGAACATCAAACTTTTCAAGTGTATAGAACTGTTTGTTAAACCTTTTGGATGACCTTTCAATGACACCTTATTGTTTATTACTTCTTTGGGCTAAGTATATAATATGGGGATCATAACATATAGAAATTGCGTGAGTCTACATTAAATCATTTTGTTAATCTGTATGCAATAATTTGGAGGATTTCATTTTGATTTGTCATGTTCTATTCACAGAAATTTCAGAAATGTGAATATGCAAGAACAAAGTTGTTTAAAACTGAAGGGCATGGTTGGGGGCTTCTAGCTGATGAGATTATAAAGGTAACCCATTTAATCCCTCTCATCTTTTTATGCTTGTTTGTTGGATATTTTCTGGTTAAGGATTTAATAAATATTTCTTTTGCTTGTAGCAATTTCTTTGTCGTATTTATAGATATACATATGTGGAAAACCATTTGTGTTTCTATTGAATATTATCTATGGTATATAATAACATGAACCAATACAGTTAGTTGTACTATAGTTTTGGTAAAACTCAATTTATCTAATCTTTGAAGCTCTCAATTTTGTTAGACATCTCATAAAGCTTCATAGAAAAATTAATTTTATGTTCACTGAGCAGTTTCATTTTTTGTTGTTTCTGTATGTTAAGGCTGGACAGTTCATCATTGAGTATTGTGGAGAAATAATCTCATTAGAAGAAGCTAAGCGACGGTCCAAAAATTATGAAGCTCAAGGTTGAGTATCACTTTTTAATATTTATGTCAATTTACCATTGCTGAGAATCACTTATACCTCCATGGATTATGTAATGCAGGTATTAAAGATGCATACATAATTTCTCTAAGTGCCAGTTGTTTGATTGATGCTACGAAGAAAGGAAACCTAGCAAGATTTATAAATCATTCATGGTAAGTCAAGCAGCACGTAAAAATGATTGAAATTGAAATATACTAAAGCTGTTTTGCACATAAACACATGGCTCATGATTTTTCTGGAATTTGCAGTCAACCAAATTGTGAGACCAGAAAGTGGGTTGTGCTGGGGGAAACAAGGGTTGGGATATTCGCAAAAAAAGATATTTCTGTTGGAACTGAACTTTCATATGACTATAATTATGAATGGTATGGTGGCGCCACTGTTCGCTGTCTGTGTGGGGCTGCCAACTGTTCTTTATTTCTTGGTGCAAAGTCCCATTGTTTCCAGGTGATTGTCTGCTTTTCAAAGTAGTGAAATCCGATTTTGCATATGATATGCCTTATTATTATGAAATAAAACCATGATAGAACCTATAGATTAATTTTATGCTAACTGCCAGATGCAGTTGTTCTACTAAGAAAATGGTTAGACCCAACCCTTGCTTTAATTGATGTTATATACCCTTATTGGATGTTAATGAACACGTCTTGTCTAAATTGTCCTTCTGCCTTGAAGATATTATTATCGTTCCTCCAAATGAAGGATCTTCCTAGTTGTTTCTCTCTTGGACAGTTACTGGCTTCACCTTAAGCACGAGTTTCTTTTAGGGGATGTAAATTTTTTTAGGTTTGGAACGGAACATCATATGCTATTCTTTTTCTTCTCAAGGTAAGAACCTACAAGTGATAAATATATGCAAAGTGGGAGCATGAGACTGGGTAATCTCTTACCTTTGGACAAATAATCTATTTGCAGAGGTAGGGTTGTTCACGTGTCTTGAATATCTTATACCTAACTAGGAACATTAAGTGGCTTCAGGCATAAGCGATGCTTCTATCAAAATAAAGCCCCCGTATCAATTTTTACTCCTCCCCGGGTTGAAGCTTGTGTAATTGAACTGGTAATCTGCTTCTATCCGTAACCTAAGATGTACTGGTGAACTGCAGTTTAGTTAGTATTGGATTCTTCTAAATTTCATTTGTATATCCCAAACATTACAAAGGGACTCGTATATATATAGACATTCGTCTCCTACAATTAACTATCTTGTCGTGCTTCATGACGTAATCTGCATACAGACATGAAAGTCTACAATTAAGCCTAGTCAACTATATCATTCCTAGCTAACACATGAAAGAAACATAGGATGAGACATCCCTTTAGTAAGAACACCTGCTAGTAGCACAACTACTAGTGACAAATGGAATACAAATCTGACAACTTTCAATCTTCTCCTCAATAAAAAGTATGTCAATTTCAACATATTTAATTTTATCATGCTAATAAGATTGTGAGCAATATTTATGGCATTTTTTATTATAGAATAGAGCTTCATCTCTTCTGTCTTGGTAACTCTTAGTTCCTTGAACAATGTCTTTAACCAATGTCAACTCACACATTCCTTGCGCCATTGCTCTAAACTGGGCTTCAGCAATTGATATTGTTACCACGGATTGTTTCTTACTCCTCCAAGTAATTTGATTTCCTCCAATAAATTCCGGATATTGTCTTTGTCTTCTATAGAGTCTGCCCAGTTAGCATCCTTATAAGCTTCTATTTGAAGATGATAGTTCTTCATGAGAAGTCATTCATTTCTAGGTGTTCCTTTTAATACCGTAAGATCTTTAAACTACTTCCATATGGGATTCACAAGGAGAGTGCATATATTGTTTAACTACGTTTACAGCAATTCCAATATTAAGCCTAGGGTCTACTGGGAGACAAATGTGAACTTACCAACCAATTTTTAGTATCGCCCCTTGTCAATTATAGCACTCTCAACAATAGTTCCCCAAGTTATGTTTCTGGTCAATTGGACTATCTCCTGGTTTGCAACCTAGCATACCTGTTTTTCAAGAGATCTGAGGTATACTTTCTCTATGACAAAAAATATACCCCTTTTAGATCTTGCAATCTCAGTGATATAAGGTACCTTAATGTTAAATTTTAAAACAAGCATTCTTTTAAGGTTCTAATCTCATTAGATAACTCACACACTTCATTAAATTTTGCTGCCTCAGATTTTCCTTGTGCAAATAGACCCAACTTACGCAAGTATGATCGTCTAGAATGTAATAAACCACCTAGCAGCAAAAATGTTGTTGATACGTTAACGACCCCGTATATCACTATGTACCAAGGAAAAAGGCTGTGACTTCTTATATTTTTGTGAAGGAAAATGAATTCGATGATGTTTAGATAACTCACATGCTTCACGTTGAAAATCTTGGGTATCCTTATTTTGAAGCAAAGTAGGAAACAACCTTTTCAAATAAGGAAAGTTTCGGTGACCCATTTTTTTATACCAGAGATAAAATTCTTGATTTAATACAGTGAGAAGAACTTGAGTGTGCATGAGATGGCTTACCTGAACCAATAGATTTACCCTTGGAAGTAATAAAGTCTATCGATCTCCTTTCCCGTATTAATCACCTCAAGGAAAATCTTAGGGTGTTTTTGAGCCACATTATTTTGGAAGAATGTATTTTGGAATAGTAGATTGATGGAAAATGTGTGGCTAAAAATGAAGGAAAAGTCATTGATACGATGAAAAATATTATTTTATTGAAGAATGTGTGGTTGAAAATGAGTAGAAAAATGAGAGTAAAAATTTTAATGTGGCTCAAACTGGGGCTTAAAGTGATTTGCTAATTGAAAGAAGATTGCAAGACAATTTTAGAACTTGTAGAGTGAAGTCCAGTGAAAGAGATTTTGAAATAGGAATTTATTGTATTTCAGCAATAGATGATGATGATGCATCTGCAACTTCAACATTTTTGTCTGCCTGAACAAGAGTTATAAGAAACAAAACAAGTTTGAATGTGGCTTAGGATCAATGACCCACAAATTACTCAAAAAACTAGCAACATTGAAGCAAGTCAAGTGAGCAAATGCACGAAAGGATAAGATATTGACGTGTCGAAACTGGCTGAAAAGAAAGCACAATTGGATTAGAAAGTGATTGATAAATAAGATGACAAACGAGAGTCCAACAACATTAAAGCTATCCAAGATAAGCTTGAAAGAGTCTAGAAATAGTCTAAACCGGTGTACAATGTCTAAGAGAAGAATGAACCGCCATTGAACTGGTAAAAAACTGCCATAAAACAATTGAACCAGCCTTCTAAACATCTGAACTGGACTGTGGACTGAACTCGCCTGAAATGTGCTGGACTTGCTTGGAAATAGGCTGAAACAGACTGGAGCAAAGGCTGAATTGGCCGGAAATGTGCTGAACCGGTCTAAAATAGAGAAAAACAACTGTTTGCTAAAGTAAGACTTCCGGCATAAAATGGTCTATAAGAAGACCAAAAAATTCAGATTTTTAGACTGGAAAACAAATTAGCACCACGTAGAAAGTCTGAATTTCATTTCGACACCTCAATCATTATTAAGGGACAGGTATATATACACATTTCTTTCCTACAACTAAACATACAGACACATGATTAAGCCTACAATTAAGCCTAGTCCATTACATCTGTGATAGCCATAATTATAGCAATTGACAACCATAATTACAGCAATAAAATACATGTTTTCCACAACATGGATGAACAGATTTCATCATCTATTTGTTTTGCATAACGTACATAAGCAACCTTTTTTTTTATCCCCCTACTTGGACATCCCCATCTAAAAACTGGCATCTATTTCAATTTATCTCTTTCTTTTCAATTCATATCTTACTTTCTCTGTAATGTCCAAACTTTGGCCTATCTGAGTTTGATTGAGTTGCTTAACATCTTTTTGTTGCCATATGTTGTGATGCAGGAGTATAGCCATGTATGGGACGATGGTGATGACAGGTAAATTTCACGTCTATATTGCTGTTACGAAGGGAGAAACTTAATTTGCTGGACATTTTAGCTCAAGCCATGTCTATGCTTATGATAGAAAGTTCCAACTAAAATTAATCCATTTTTGTATATTTGAAAGTTTTACCGATCTGTTAAAAATTTGATACATCAAATCCTATTGATGTGATACCAATTGAGGTTCCAATAGAATAATATGCTCGATTTCCGTATAGAGAGGGTTAGAAGGAATTTCATACGAAGTGAAAGATTTCTTTTTGTTTATTGTGGGGGGTACTGTTTGCAGATGTGAAAGTGTTGTGCGAACTAGAATGCAAGGGGTTTAAGAATTCAGTGTGTTGATACTTGGAGAACTGCTGGGAGCTGATGGAAGATGTGTAGATTACAACGGTGACAAGGAATTGGATGGAAGAAGATATGTAGGGGGGATCACTTGTCAAATTTGAGACAGGATTTGACAGGATATGCCACGTCTCTTATAGGATACACCTTAGATAACTCTCATCCATTTTTTGCTCCACTTTGTGTAATGCAGTACATCACTAGTAGAGGATGTCCTATAGATATTTTATAAAGGATTCATGTAATAGTGTGACAGAGTTTTAACTTGCTATCAATTTACCACGACCATCCTGGATTTCGACTGGCTATAATTGTACTTAGGCAGAGTTGAAGAGTGTCAAAACATATGGGAGATAATTGCTGAAAAGCTGGCTGGAGATGCAAGCTCATGTACGTACTGTGTTGCTTGATGTGTCAGGGAAGAGAAGGGGTTCTGAAGTGGCATCTTTGAATAGTATTCACAAAGAGAGTTGGGGCTCCTAATGGATCGCTAAAAATTAGAATTTAGAGTTGTAGGGAGTGTGGTAAACTGGAAGGTGTGATTGGTATAGGTGCAGAGAGCTATTTTTTGTTTCCTGAAGATTTTTTGTGATTTCTTTATTTTCTTCATACTCCCAGATTTACGTTTCAGTTATAGTTAAATTGTACGTGTTTCTTTAGTTATACATTCTCCTTAACATTTATTTTCCCTTCTCTTTTCTTTTTTTGCAATCTTGGGATGTTGAGCATAAATTGGTTTCTACATAGCAGATATATGGTTGAAAATATTCCACTCTACGATTCTGATGAGGATGGTCATTTTCCCTCTTACGCTAAGAGCCCTTGTGAACATGAACGGGTAACTGATGAAGAAGATGAGTGCTCAATGATGATGGGTGGTACTGAGGGGTCTGAAAACAAATTGGAGATTGATAGTGGTAAGAGATCTAGTTCTGTACTTCCTGTGGCAGCAAATTCAGTGGAAGCTAAAAGCTGCGAGGCAGCGAAACAAGGTTTAGAAGACACGGAAAAAGCCTTTTCACTGAATTTTAACATTGGCACAGGTTCGACTTCAACGAAAAAAACACAGCATACTTCCAAGGGAAAGGCAAAAGTTTCTGGTAGAAAGCTAGTCAGAGACAAATCTGTTACTGAAGTATTTGCATCAAAGGAAGCACAGGCCGAAGTAGCCAAATATGAGGTACAAACGGTTTTCTCTACGTATTGTTTCTGGTGAAAAACTGCTTGCATAATTGTCTCTTTATTCTTCTCCTTGGTTTGTATTTCCATTTTTCCCCGGGAGTAATGAGTATCATGTTTGGGAGTGTTTGTGAGTGATTATAAATTATAGATCCTAAGAAATGTGTGGATAAAAAATCTGTTTGATCAAACTTGCACTTGCCTTCTGATGTAGAATTATATTTTCCTTCATTTCCAATGCTTATTGCGCGTATAATTGTGCAGGAAATAAAAAATAAAGCCACAGCCGATCTAAATTCCTTGTACGATGAAATACGTCCTGCCATTGAAGAAGGCAAGTGGGACAGTCAGGAAGGTGTAGCTAGCAGTGTATCAGAAAAATGGATAGATGCAACCTGCGCTAAGTATGAAGCAGATTTTGACTTCCATTTCTCCATTATCAAGAATTTCATGTGCCCAAAAAAGCCAGCTGGAGACGAAGCCAGGTCTTCAGCAGGGGGAGATTGCCTGAAGAAATCGAAGTGATTCACAAATTACGATTTTCATTTGTGCCCTCCAAGATTGTAGCTTGGATTTTTATTTTCTGATAAGGACTTAGAAAATTTTATCGTTGAGATTTGAGATGGTTAAATGCAGTTGTTGAACTCATCGTTGAACGCATTCGTATGTATTGAATTGATCAAGCACTCTGCCAACTTATGTAAACTCATCCTGTGTTTAAAATACTGTTGTTTATTTCCTGTTTGATGGTGGTGGGTTTTTTTTAACCTTTTCCTTCCCTACCCTTTCCCTTTTCTGTTTTTCTTTTTCTTTCGTTAATATTTAAATGAAAGAATATAATGATATTTTTCTTATAAAAAAGAATATTTGACTGTGTAATGGTCAAAAAAGAGTTCCCGCTTAGTAGGACTCAAGGAAGGGATGAATTTATAGACATTTTGATCCTTCGCTTTGCACTGATTAGATGTGTAATGTGATAAATAAATAGACGAGGGAATTGTGTGAATTATGGGACTAACCTAACTTAAAGTAAGGGTTATTTCTTCTCTTGATCTTAATGGCGAATCTTGATTGATTGATACAAGAAACCGATCAGGAGAAAGAAGCATGGCATGAGATAGGCAGCAGTAAAACTTCCGATGGCAAATCACTCGACTTGATGGATGTTTTCTTCCATAAGAAATCCAACCCAAGCACGAGCTGGGGACTGTAGATGAAATTAAATTTTTAAGCAAGAATTACACGTTTCACCCTGCTCGTACTTGTATGTAATGTGCGTAATTTTAACTTTATGTGCCTAGCCCAAACACACATTAAACTTAGAATGTGCTAGCCCAATAAGGCTGAAGATATGGATTACACTACAGAGTTTACTAACATTCAGATTTCCAAGTAGTTAAAACCTACACCTGACTGATTTTCGAGTAAAATTTAAGTGAATTTCACATCTTGATAGTCGAAAACGCAAAGAACTGAATGTCATTTCAAATGCGCTGGTATGATTTTTATAAAAAGTTGTACAGAAATAAATTAAAATCAAGTTAACATCCCATTATTTAACAGACTATATCGTGATATATAGTGTCAAATTTTTACATTTTACAAGAGGAAAATCGGTGAATAATCAAATTAGCCTTCACTATAGTTGCAAAAACAGAGCATCATCTAGAAAGGCAGATTCTAAAGTTCATGACTTCATTCCCAACTTATAATCAATCCGCAAAAACCAAACCATCTCCTCGTACCGGGGGAGATTTAGGTAGTAAGCTAAACAACCAAATTTTATGATAAATGAAGCATAAATATCAAAATTCAATCGAAAATTTCTGAACTCATAGCACGAGGTCTTTCAACTAATGTTAAATAAAAAAAAAACTCAAAAATATTTCTCCAATACTGCTCTTCAGATGGCACAATCCAGTTCACAAGTCTTGCACACTCAAACCTGAGAGAGGTAGAGAGAGAAGGGGGGGAAGAAGTCAAAATTATAGGAGTTAGAAAAAGCCATTTCATAATAATCAATCACATTAGAGCTTGTTTGAGCCCCTTTTTTTATAAAAATACATTTTGGAACAGTGATTTAATGGAGAATGTGGTTAAAAAATAAGGAAAAGTTCGAAAATTTGCGTGTAATATTATTTTATTGAAGAATGTGTGCTTGAAAAGAAGAGAGGGAAAGATGTATTTTGAAAATAATTGGGATCAAACAAGGGCTAAAAATACAGAACCTCAACTTCCAGTTTTATCTGAATATGGAATCAAAGAATATAAAAACATCTTTTAATGAATGATATCCTTCTCATTTTTAAAGCTACTTCCATACAGAATTCTTAGACAATCAATCCAGGATCTTGAGATGTCTTGTACTATGATATCCCATTAGCAAATATATATATGCATCATTCCAATTGTTTAATTGGTTCAAATACGCATCAAACATCAAGAGAAGTTAAGTTCACAAATCAACTAACCTGGGGGAAGGGATTGCTTCAACTTGTCAGCCTTCTCAGGATCAAAGACGCAAAGGGTGTAGAGGTACTTTGAGCACCGAACCTTGAACTTCACCACATCCTTGCTCTTCTTGATCTTAACAGAGCGTGCATCCTTCCTTCTGGCAGTGAGAAGGAAGTCCTTAATCTCATGAATTTGCTTCGGCTGAGCGTCATAAAAGAAAACGAAGGGTTAGTAAAATAAAAGGAAAAATCCTCAAATACAAGTTTCCATTAAATTAGAACAGATCAGAGATCAGATGGAAACCAGAACAAACGCAAGTACAGGACAAGAAGCACAAGTAGCAATAAAGAACCCATTTTGGTTTGTAACTCAATGGGAATCAGAAAGTAATTAAGTACAAAAGTTAGCATTTTCAAATGTTCAATTACCCAAAACAAGAAAGTGTGCGGGTAGTAAATATACAAGCAAGAGCAAAAGACTACAAAACCTTGACATTATTGGTATTTCAGTTTCCTAATTTAAGCTTTAGTTGAGACACCTTAAACTCATTAAAAATCCAAACCTAGTAAATAGGGCTCCATTTCTTTTTCAATATTGATTTGTTTCCCATTTGCTAAGTTTTAAAACTATAAACCGTACAGTAGTAGGGATAGAGAATGAAGTTAATTATTCTCCTTTCCCTCCTCTAAATTTAACATTAAAAACAAGGAGATTAATAAGTCACTCATACAAGCTTAACACTTTTTTTTCCAAAATTGTCATTAAAAAATTTTAGAAAACTCATGCCCACTCCGAAGTCGCTGTTTCCCTCAAACTATATAGTCATCTTGAACAAGTTTCCTTAAAAGCGCCCTAGTGCCTCTACAAGAAACTAATAAAGTACAGTTCAGTTATATGAAGAAAAAAAACGCTACAAGCTATTACACCCAAACGCGAGAAAAAAAATCCCAAACCTTGTTATCCACAACCCAGAAGTTAGTCAGGTTTAAAAACGAGAACGATTAAAACAACACACTAAATGCATCCGTTTGACTCTTCATCTAAATAGTCTAATCCAGAGATCCTCAAATTCAATTAAACACTCGAACTATCACAATCTGTGTTTAGCATTCAATATGAGAGAAGGAGAGAGAATACCATTTTGGAGATCGGCGCCGGGCAAAAAGAGGGGGTAGATTCCAAAACCCTGGTTCCGTGGCAGTGAAAGGTTGTGATGGAGCATTATATATGCTATGTTTTGTTGTGGGCTGGCATTGGGTCTGAATTGATTAAAGGTCTGGTTAGAATCCTCGGCCCCGGCCCACTAATAAAATTCGTACTTCAAATTTGTACAAATAACTTACAAAAATACCCCTAAAATTAGATATCTTTTAAAAAATCATATAAAAAATATTTAAAAAGTATAAAATATTTTGTAAAGTTAAGTGTCAAATAATAAAAAAATGTAACAAAAAATTAAAAGAGGGACAACACTAAAAAAAATGACAGTGTTACTTTGTACACACAACTTATCCACTTGAGAAAATGGTCAAGTTAAATATTGACTAGAATACAATCTACCTACTAAATATTAAACACCACTTTCTAAAGTTGAGTTTCACTTTTTTTATTAAAAAAAAACATACAATATCACTTTTATTAAAAAGTGATGTTTGTCATTCAAAAAAGTAATAAAAATTCAAAAAAGGTAACGTAATAAATAAAAAAAGTGGCGGAAAATTTTAAAAGTAACAAATACTAAAAAGTGACAGAAATTCAAAAAAAAAAAATAACAAACAATCAAAAAATAATAAATACTCAAAAAAAGTGACAAAAAATTTAAAAGGTGACACATTCCACCCACTTGAAAAAATGATCAAGTGTTGACCAAAATAGCTTTAGCAGAAAAAGTGACAAAAATTTAAAAAAGTGAAACACACAAATCAAAACCTTAAAATAGACTGAAGGGATATTTGAATTTCTCCTCCATTTTTTATTTTTTATTTATTTTTTTTGTGATTATGCTACACTTGCATTAATTAAACATAGAATATAACTTTATTTTAAGAACATAACAACCTATAAGTTGGAAATAAAAAAAAAAATTGACAACCATTTACTAAGCATAACTAATAACCCAACAAATGTTGCAGAAAAAATAAAAATTTGACCTAAAGTTCCAACAAACACTCCTAACTTAGATTTAAGAACAATGTTGGGTGACGTGCGTGCATGCTTGCGTACGTGTGTGAAAAAGAGAATCTGTGTGTGTATGTACTATGGAAAATGTAAATCATGAAAGTGGTGACAACACTAACTTCAAATCCTAAGAAAAAGCAGATAATAACGATAATGTTAACACGGTATCCGCTTCACTGTTATATGTATACATGTATGGGCTTGTTTAGCGAAAGCAGTAACTACAATCGAGGTGGATTTGACTGATGATGAGTCTAAGTACTTCAGTTTTACAAGTGATTGTCGAGCACAAATGGACCTATCGTATGAGAATGTTGATGGTGGTGGCACCGCCCTTTATAATTGAAACAACACATAGAAAATTGAAGGGAAATGAAGGGTTTCGATGCAACTCTGAGGATGGTAGTGGTGGCACCGCCCTTGCATTACAGTGATGTCGACTGAGCTCCACCATCCTGTTACGATAATGAAAATAGGAAAAAGTTGAAGAAACACCAACTGGTTTTCACTCTTTACGTTTTAGGTTTTGGGGCTTTTAAACATATTAATTACGTTTTAAATTGTTCAATTAGTTTATTCATTTTTTTAGCTTTTGGACCGCCTAATTTCCTCAATTTGGGGCTATGCACTTTGAGCCTGTTTGAGTCTATTTTTTGTTCAAAATGCATTTTGAAATAATATTTTGATGAAAAATGTGTGGTTAAAAAATTAAAAATTAAATTAAATTTGCTTGTAATAATATTTTATTGAAAAATGTGTGATTAAAAATAAGAGAGAAATTTATTTTGAAAATAATGTAAACCAAACAAGAGCTTCATATTTGACCCGCGTTTATAAACACTCAAATTAATTTTCATACAAACTTTGAGAAATGCAAAATACTATTTATTTTA